ATTAACCACCATGGCCAAGATCTGCCCGGTTTCCACCTCGTCTACATACTGGGCCAGTCGTCTGCTCTCGTCCTTGCTCCTATACGTGTCAAACCTACACACACACACATACACACGCACAAACGTAAAAGTGGGTCATGGAGATTAATCATAGACCAGTCAAGGAACGTTACAGAAGCCAGTAAGCATACTGATTATGAATGATTTTTCTGAAGGCTGTGATTCAACAACAGACGCTCATTTCTGTGACGAAAAATAGTCAAAGATCAATCGTCTGCGATGATGCCAACTTGGAAGCGCTGTTTGTTTTGACAGTCGATTTGTAATTACTGTTTTAATTCCAACCGCACATTAAAGCCATCGGTTAGTTGGTTTTGCATGATGTACTGAAGTAACAACCTTTCATCTGTCAAGAAGCAAGCATGCATTAATTAGAAATGAACTTTAAGAGCAAAAAATGTTGAGGGGAGATGGTGTCCCAATGACCTATCAGTGTGCAGCACATCTCCAGTCTTCGGGTTGATGACGTGAATGATGACGCCTCTGTTGCCCCAGCTCCTTTCGAAACGGTAACTGTTCTCATTACCCTGCCCAGGATGGAGGGTTTTGTTCAGGAAAGTCCATGACAGCTTCTTTTCACCGTGAATCTCCAAGGTTCCTCCAGTTCCTACGCCAATGTACTTGCGGCCAAAATAACTGTGTTCGACCTCGCTGTCGTCAGACCTTTTTCAAAACAACAACAAATCAGATTAGCAAATCGTCCCATGCATTTAGCATTGAAGAGAATGCTTTTTAAATTCCCGATTTAAGATTGCAAATGATTGTGATATGAATTTTATTTATTTGTTTACTTGTCAGCAGCAAGGCTACTCTTACTAAACAAAAATGTAAGAGAATATACTGGAAAATATAATGTGATGTATTAAATAATACATTTCCATATATGGGAAACTAAAGATTATATTTTTCAATATACTGCAATATATGCATGGCTATATATTGATACATATAAAAATATATAGCAATAAATGCAAAAATTGCTTTAGTGAAACACTGAGTCAGTGAATCATTCATTAATGTGATTTGTTCAAAATTGCTGATTCATTCAGGAATTAAACAAAAGTGACTTTGTGAGTGAGTCATTGAATCATTCATTGAACCAGTTTATTCAACAATTAATTTAAATTAATAAATATTTGTATGTAAAAATTTTGGAATGACAAATTGTTTTTGCCATCTTTCGCCCTAGTGACAAGTAGGGTTGCAAAAAAGGTGGAAAATTTCCAGTAAATTTCGGAAACATTCCAGAAATTTTGGAAACTTTCCAGGATATTTTGGAATATTCCAGGGATTTCTGGAAAGTTTCCGGAAATTTACCGGAAATTTTCCACCCATTTGCAACCCTAGTGACAAGTGATATTTAGTCTACAGTATTATGTTTTTATTTACGTAGTTATGGGAAAATTATTATGGCAAATATTATTCAAATTACCATTCAACTTCCTGTGAGGTTTGGCCAGTTCAATTCAAATTTACTGTCAAGAATTGAATGGGAGTCAATTGTCTGATTCTGAATTTAGCACAAAACCTTCAGATTTACTTAAAATGACAGGCTTAGAACATTTCTATCTGTCAAGTTCTCCAAAACTTTCTCTACTCTGTAAGTGCCTTTATGAAGGCTGCAGGAGTGCTTTAGCAGGTCTGATGATTTTTCAAAGCCTATATTCATACCTGCCAAAGAGAGAGATGGTGAGGTTGCCTTTGTAAGGACATTCTGGACTGCCAATGTGAAGTTCACCCTTGTTCCCGATGAGGATGTGCTTAGCCCGCAGAAAAATGGGTCGACTGGAATCGGCGATCACAAGCTTCCCTAAAAAAGAACAAGAGAATCAAACCAATCCTGATCTTTCACCCTTGATTTTCAACCAGTGAGCATGCAGGAGGTTCTCCAATTCTAGTTCTAAAAGAACAAATAGTTGGTTACTTTTTGGCACGGATTGTGATGGAATTCCCCCATCAAACTCTAGAATATTCCACGCTCAGGGCCATTCATCTGAAATGTGTTTTGATTTAAGCCTGTCATGGCTCATGTCAAACTTGACCTTCATCATGAGGGATGTAAATCTTCATGGCACTTTAATGTTGTGGAGATGTTTGAAAGAGGTTTTATTAGGAAGATCTACCTCCGTTGAGGATCTTGATGGAATGGACAGTCGCGGATGAGGTGAGGACAACTTTGCGGCCGTAACCGATGGTGACTCTGTGGGCTTCATTGTGTCCAGGAGTCCAGGGTTGTAGACCAGGCAACTTATCTGGACAAACTGGAAAAGATATTTGTTTAAATGTAAATAATCACACAGAAGACCTCAAAAGAACAAGTTACGTTCAGAAATACTTTTCATTAAAAAAGAGAAATAAAACTTCCCTATGAACGTACTATGAAAACATACCACGACTTTCAGAACTCAAAATGTCCTTTCCAAGAAGAAAAAACATGACAACCATAATAAATTGACCTCAGGGTCACAAATGTATGATAGGCCTACTGCAAGGACAAAACTTCAAATGAAACAAACATTTTAAGATGTCAACAGATATGACCTTTATATCTCAGATGTCTAGACTAAAAATTGCCCATGATAACTCTTCGGTTCATCTGTTATTATTGCTCTGATAAAAAGAAGCCAGTGGTTGAACCACAGGCGGATGTTTCTGACTGCAATCAGACTTTTAAGTGTCATCACATATTAAAAAGGTCTCATTCTTCCCTTTAATGCTGTAAAAACCTCTGAGAAGCCACGCACTTGATTTGAATACACACGGCACATCTCCAGACCCAGAGCAGCTGGGAACTTCCATCATGAGCATTTCCATATCTCTGCTTTGAAATGAGAGTAAAGGGCTTCACTGAGCTTTCTAATGCATTTTCTTCTGCGTTACAAAAAGTCAAGGCCTTGAGATGCAGCGACACAAATAATGACAGTAATAATCACCCAGAGGAACGGCTTATTGCTCTTTCATAGCTCAGGAGATTTGGGTTATCATGTTAAATGTTCATTTACATATCAATGGAAATAGAAGAAATAGAAATAGCTGAGTATAGAGTTTACTCTCAGAATTAAGAGTAAATTAAATAATTAAATCACTTACATTTACAAATAAATTTAATTCGGTGTTTAGCTGAAATAAAATATTAACAATAGATGAAAATCTTGAAAATGAAAATTACAAACTTAAGATTGGCAAATGCTGCTATGATAACTGAAATAATTAAGCTGAAAAACTAAACATACTAAAACTAAAACTGAAATATAAATAAAATGAACGAAAAATAAAAAAGCTAAAACAATATATAAAAAAATAGTAAAATAACAATCATTGTAATAAATAAAAAATAATTAAAATGTTGATAGCACAACTGGAGAAATTGTCTTTTTTTTCAAGAGAAGCATGAAAAGGCTTAAGCAGAAATCTCCAATTGCTCTTCAATTAATTTTCTTGCTGTCTAGGCCAAACTGATGAGATATTAAAGAGATCTAATTTTTTATTTTTCTTACCTGAGGGAGTACTAACCCAAGTTGCAATTAAAAATGATGAATTTAGCACATGTCGTGAAGATGTTTGGGAGGATACAGTCAATTACTGGGAGCGAGAGATTTGCATCAGACCAATTATAAAGTTCATAATCAGGATTCACTTCAGCTACTTGTAAAATTGCTTCGGATGGACAGCTGACGTGGTGGGTCACCTAACTGTAGTGCAGAGGTCTCTAATAAAGGGATCAAACACACTCTCATGCATTTGTCTTTCCTGTTATAAATCAAATCATGCAATGAAGAAATAAAGGAATAGTTATCCAAAAATTAAAAAGAATAGTTCACCCAAAAATGAAAATTCATAAAGATGTACTCACCCTCAGGCCATCCAAGATGTAGATGAGTTTGTTTCTTCATCAGAACAGATTTGGAGAAATGTAGCATTACATCACTTGCTCACCAGTGGATGCTCTGCAGTGAATGGGTGCCGTCAGAATGAGAGTCCAAACAGCTGATAAAAACATCACAATAATCCACAAGCAATCCACACCACTCCAGTCCATCAGTTGATGTGTCGTGATGTGAAAAGCTGCGTGTTTGTAAGAAACAAATCCATCATTAAGATGTTTTAATTTCAAACCGTTGCTTCCAGCTAAAATACAAGTCCTCAAGTGAAAACAGTTCTAAACAAATATGTGGGTGAATTTCGATGTGCGACAACAACAGGGCATGGACCTTTTTAACTGGAGGAAACGTTATTATGGATTATGTATTTTGGCCAGAAGTGACAGTTTAAAGTTAAAGGGGTCATATGATGTTGCTAAAAAGAGCATTATTTT